CAGGAACAAAAGGTGGGACATTGATCCATGGTTGTGCCTGCCATTTTTGACCCTCTTATCCTTCTGTTGCAAACCTGCCTGATTCTCTGTGCTTTCCCAGAGATTTCACATGTATTGTTGTGGGTTTTGAGTTCATATTTGTTTCTTTGTTCACTGGGTTGATTTCTGCTTCTGTGGCTCATGTCCTTCATCCCCCAGGAGACAGAGGAGGTGAACATACATAGGACACAATTTAAAAGAAGCAAAAACTGCATAAAGCAAGGCAAAAGCAAAGCAGATTGCAATGTGTAAGCATTACAAAACAATGGCTCTATGTAGCCTCCTGCGGTGTCAAATGTCAAGGTGAATTTCCTGGAATGGAAGGGTGTGCACGCTGCTTTATGTGCACAGAGGGATATTTTATGTTTTATGAGGAAGAACAACTTTTCCACCAGAAAGCCATAAAATACTTAGCTTGCAAGGTTGGATGCTCTCTAGCTGTACACAGCAGAAAAGGATAAGTGGAGAAGAAAAGTGGAAAGAGTCTCTTTTTTTTTCTTTTTGAAGAGGAGGAGAAGCAGGTTGGATCCTACTTTTTTTCCTTATTTTGTTTTTGTTTTTGTATAACCTTACTCCTGATTGACTAGCAGTTCTAGATTTCTTTCAAACATCCTCTGCACGGTAATCGATAAATAATGTGCTTGAACATTTGACTTTGGTAACAAACAGGTTTCCTTTTGAACTGCACAGGAATGCTGTCTTTCTTTCCTGCCCTACACAGTCAGTGAGCCCTATTTAATCTGCTATATGAACTTGCCTCATAGGATTGTCCGTGTGTGTGTGTGTGTGTGTGTGTGTGTGTGTGTGTGTGAGAGAGAGAGAGAGAGAGAGAGAGAGAGAGAGAGAGAGAGAGAGAGAGAGAGAGAGAGAGATCAATGATTATGCAATTAAGCTCCACCTCCTTTTGCCTGAGTGCAACATGTTGAAAGGACTTACAAAAATAGAACTTCAAGCACAATGCCATGGATTATGCTTGACCCTTGTCGACCCCATCTTCAGACACTTGATTTGGGCTGTGAGTTGAGGATTCAACCTACTGCTGTCAACCAAATACCAAATTAAATTTGCAGCTCCTGTGGTTTAGGCACTGATAGCTTAGAGTAAATATCTAACTGGGAAGAAAAAATAAAGTTCAACTTGGTCCTAGAAAGATGAAGGATGGGGAAACAAATCAAGGTAACCTTTTTTGGAATGAGAAGGCAGAGCCTGCTAAGCTTTCAGGATTTTGTTATTACACAATACAACAACAAAACAGAATTCTTGTAATCCTTGAAGTGTTTGATTCTGACCTGGCCTACTTTGAAGGACTGGCACTTACCCATCCCTTTAGAGATTTGTATTTCATAACAATGTCTATATAGCAAGCATGAGTTTACTGTCATGATGGAGATCCTAACCATATATCATAGTTTCATGAACAAAGCTACAGCAGCCCAATTCACAGACAGGATTTCCATCATAGTTTGCAAATGGCCCTAGACATTGTGCCAAGCCAGGATTTCTTCAATTAGGCACAGCTGGCTTCTCATTTAATCTGAATGAGGCAATTTATGGCTCTGCTTTGGCAGAGAATTCAGTTGCAATCCTACCCATCTGGAAGGCACCAAGTTGGAAAGAGAGGGGTGCTTACTATCAGCAATGGCATAAGAATAATTCTTTTTCCTAAGATAATTTATTCTTCCTGCTGTGACAATCAGAATCTACACCATTGTTACTTTTAACTGCTATTGTGCTTCTCTTAAACAAAGCTGTTTCTGTGTTGGCTTTCCAGTGCACTCTTTAGAAAAGTGTTGTTCTCTCTCTCATATGCATTCATTGTATTTACATCCTGATTTGACTTGAAGACATTAACCTAACAAAACAGGAGCATATTCAGAGTACAGATTAAATATTTCTAAACCAAATCAATACATATCATTAGAAGGTAAATTAAATCAATGGTCAGATCTAAGCTGGAAGGCTCTGGAAAACAATGGTGGTTTCAGGATCTCCCTGAACGTAATTGGGAGGGAGAAAACTGATTTTAATGGGAGACAATTTCAGAGCATCTACCTTTTAGCCTCAGCTTCCTTTGTTTGGTGGCTATTGGGGATTCTAGGTAGTTTCTCCCATCATGACCTTATAGGTCAGGCCAATTCTAGCTGGAGTCAACCATCTCCCTATCTTCTTTTCTTTTCTTAAGAGGTTGAAAATAATTAACAGTTCAGACATTTCCTCAGGGAGAAAAAAAATTCTGAGAAATTTCACCACTGCTCTTCAGCACAAAAACTTTTCTGTCATTATCCAGACAATTTGTCTGAATCTATTCTCCAAAATTAAAGAACCCAAAGAAGCTAAGCCTCATTGTCATAAGAAATAAAGACAACCTAGCCTAGCGAAGCCTCTTTTTTCATTGAAAGCTATTTTATGCCTTATCTAGGTAATAAAACAACAGTTCAGCAGCTAGATGCTACTGTATTGCTTTCTCATTAGTTTGGAATTTAGCAGACTTAATCAGAATGTTCTTTCACCTATCTATTAGAAGCAGCACTTTCATGTTTTTGAAAACATGGCATTTTAAATCATTAGCAAGAATGGAGAGTCCAAGTACTGTGAGAATTATGATTCTCTATTGATTCATCCAATTTCTTTTTAATGAAAGAATTCGTCTGTAATTATTTTTGATAAATAATCCTAGATGCTTGTTGCATACCTAGGATGCTTTCATAATTTCTGTCAATTTATAATTATGACTGGAGGGGAAAAAATTTTCTTCTATTAGTGACTAGTTTAGCTTTGTCCTACTGGCATGTTTTCTTTTTTCTTTTTCCTTTTTAATTAGGGGCGTATGAATCATAGATGGCTCCATTTAATTTTGCAATACAAGAAGTCTATTTGATTTTGTAATTTAATGAAGGAAGTCAATCCCAATCCGTTTGAAGACATGATGAATCATGAGGGTTCACTTGAAAAGGTCCATTGTATCTACAAATTTATTCAGAGGCTACTGATTCAATCCAAAGGTTCGATCTGTGGAAGTGATTTGACTGAATCATCTTTGAATCAAAGCTGTACATCCTTGATGCACTTCTGGAAGATGTACTCAGTATGATAAACCCGTAAATGGACAGTTCTTCCATGCAAATTGTATTATGATTATATATTAGACATACACAAGTAATTTGCTATGATGCTGGTAGTTTTACTTAGGGCAGCCCTTCAACCATTTTCTCTTTAATATTAATGTACATTGCATAGTCCTAGTATGTCTATCCCAAATATGAATGTCAGTTACAATCATAAAGAGAATTGTTTTAGCAAGTCTTGGAAGAAACAATAGAAGTCATCTATTCAATCCCTACTAAATGAAGGATTTGCAACAGCCTTTCTGATGGTTGACCAATCATACTCTGTCTGAAGAATGCTAGTAAAGGAGGATTTACCACTGCTCTGCAACCTGCTCTGGTAACTGATACAATGGAAGTTCTTCATGATATCTAACCTGAATCTTCTTCTTAGTGGTTTTAATTCACTGATTGTTATCTTGCTCCCTTGAGATATTTGAAGAGTGTTATCATAGCTTCCCTTAATCATGGCCCAAAGGTGCTTTTTCAAAACTCAACTGGACTTTGTTTTTCCTTGAAAACCTTTCTCTTCTCATCCAAGAAGCTTCTTCAGTTGGATGAATTGACAAATCTTCTTGGATGAGAAGCAAAACATCTTCAAGGAAAAACAAAGGAAGTCCAATTGACTTTTGAAAAACTACCTTTGGGACAACCATGACCTGAATGACTAAGAATCTCCATAGACATTTCCCTTAGTCATCTTTTTTTGTAGGCTAAACCTATCCAGATCCTTTAACTATTATTCATATGGGGTAAGAAATAGGAAGAAGTTGTCTATGTTCCCATAATGTCCTAAGTTAAAAATTTCAGCAAATGAGTATGAGACATGTGGCTATTTAACCAAGGTTTGTACATTATCATATTCTTCAAATCTTAATTGGCTATCACTTGTGGTCTCTTAAAACTAAAACTTGTACTCAGGTTTTGTGATACTCTACAAGACTACTCTACAAAACTCATGCCAGCGTTTTTAGGTTCCAGTGATATGGTGTACCGCAAAGGTTTTTTTTTTTTTTTAAAGCATGATGTATAATCAAGATGTTTTGGGATTAGTGTTCTATGCACAATACACCGTTCATATTTTTCATATCATGCTAAGATCTCACCTACTGAATAACCAAAAGAATCAAGTTCGCAAAACATTCCAAATCAACAACGAAATGTCTAGCTTCACTCTTAAACAAGCCAAAAATTTGTCTAACATCACTGAAGCTTAACATGCCTTGATTCCTCCAGTTTGATTCATCTGAGGAAAAAAAATCCAGCTCTGCTTCAAGATTCACCTCGCATTTGAAAATTCACATTTTCAAGTCTATCGTTTGAAAATATATATGCATAGATGATTTTTTTAAATGGACAAGCTGAAATAACTCCAATCGTATTTTATTACCCCATCAGGAACAAAATAAAAAGTTGATTCTGTTCAATTTTTCAGAGAGGGAGAGAAAGAAAGAAATTCAAAGCTGACAATCAGAGTGTATATTCAGCCATAAAACTTTTCCACCCGCTTCCTTCATGAGGCTATAATTTATGCACTAAGAAAACATGCATTTAGTTGATATTTATGATGGATTCTAGTATTATTTTTACATTAAGCCTTATGACACATTTGGAAAAACTGACAGGCAAAAAAGGCAATAAATAAATATATAAATAAATATTTCGGGATGGAGTTTTCTCTAAACTTCTTCTGTACACCGCTTCATTTTACATCAAAGCTCCCTTTTTAACTACCCTGTAATCCCTTAATTCGGGGTAGAGTTGGGGTGACTGGATGGATCTGGATGCCCTTCCTGGCACCTATGCGGAGTTTACAGTAGATATTTTTCTTTTCATCCTAGGGTGGAATCATCTGCTGCTACCTAAGGTTTAACTCTCAACCTTCTGAGTGGGAGGACAGAGTCTTCACCACTAGGCTATCATGTCCCTCATACAACTTCATCTTACGCTGTAAGTACATTTTTGTACGGAATTTGATGTTAAACTTTTTCTGCAAATTTTGGAAATGGCAACAAGGCTCCAATCTGCATATTGGTTTGGAAAATGTAAAGTAGATGTGACCGTAAACCACCAATCATTGGTAACCAAGCTGATGTTGTTTTTCCATTCCTAACCTCAAAGGGTTTATATGAGGAAGGAACATATAAGATTTGGAAACAAGAACAACGATGCAGTTTCTGGCAGAGGAGCTTTTAGTAACCCCCAAATTTTGGAGGTTCTATCTTCTACATGATCATGGCAGATATTCATTTTTTTGGAGACCGCAATTTATTTATGCATTTCAGGCATAAATTTGGCTCATAGCATTGGTTAATTGCCTAGTAACCCAAGTTGCAAGGGCCAAGATAACAATTTTCTTCCTGGAAGAATATATCTCGAATATGACCACAATGAATAAGCACATTATGGCATTAAGCACACAGTAATCATAAATGCAAGATTACATTCCAGTGGGTTATTTTTATGTTGTCACCCATATTAAATCATACCTTATGATATGTATTGAGGTGGAAATACAAGTGGGGTGGAATAACCTAAAGCAAGGGCCAATCTTCTTTATAATAACACAGTGATCATAAAGCTTCCTTATCTCTAAGAATGCACTTTTCAAAAATAAAGCACAGAAAGCCAATTATTTGGCTTAGTCAGAAAGCTTGCTGATCAGAAATTGCACACAGAACCATTTGGCTACTCAAACAGATCACCGGAGGGTCATTTTTCATGATGAATTCCAAAATAAAAATTAATAGAAGCACTTCAAACAATATGCAAGATTTTTTGTTGTTGTTAAATAAGAAATAGGAAAGGAAAAACATCAGACTACAGGCCTAATTTCTTTGAGAATAGAGGACTTGTCTTAGAGCTGCTATTTAGTTTTTGAGGGAAGTGTGTAGTTCTGATGCCTAGAAAATATCTCCAATGTGAATTGTCTTCCTGAAAATTGGAGAAATTTCTTTCCTTGGCAGTGGTAGCATTTCTTCGATGATGGAACCCAACTTTCCATCCTTAAGATTCCCAGTCCGAGTTAAATAGAATCCAATCGATCCATTGAACCAACCTGAAGCTCCAAATTGGTGCAGAAAATATGCCTAATAATTAGTTTAAGTTTTAAGTAGATTTCAGTTTGACTGTTTGAGATGACTATTGAGTTATCACACTTTCTTGGTCTTGAGTGAAAGGGGGTCATCCTTGCCTCACTTGAGTGAATGACAAAGACACAAGTAAGAACTTCCTTTTGCCTCTTAGACCAGGGATGTCAAACTTGCAACATCACGTGACATATCACAACATATTGTGACTTTTTTGCCATTGCTGGCAACGGGGTGGGCACAGTTTCGCTATGATGCAGCTGACCCATAGGCCGGCAGTTTGACACCCCTGTCTTAGACCATGGGCTACGATACTAGGTATGAGTGATAGCAGGATAAAGCGTTGGAAAAAGTAGTTTCTCCATAAATTATGACCACAGCCAGGGAAAACTCCCAAGGAAATCCAAAATAAATCTAACCCTTTGACATTTATTACACATCTAAATGAGATACAGCAGATGTTGAACTGAAAAAATAAAGAGAAGGATATTAACAGTGAGGCTCGGCTACTATTTAGCAATATTGCATCCAACTTTACCGGACAACTTGCACAATATCACTGAGTTGTTAAACTCTGTTTCATGGCGCTTGGTAGCAGCTTGGGCTCAGGTTGACTTAGGGTTAGAAGGAACTAATTATTCCATGCCTGAGAAGACATGAAGAAAATGTGCATCACCAGCCTTTTTAAGATAATGTTGCTTTGTCTGTAGAGACCAACATGTCAGGTTCAATGGAGAGTGAGTCTAAATGAAAACTGAGGAATACTGAGAATTAAATATTACAGACACAAGAGATAATTAAACCTTCCCTAACCTTACAAACTCTAACTATATTTGATTGCCATTCCCATTGACTAGCTTAGTATTATGATGGCTGATTATAGAACATCTTGTTGAGGAAAGGTGACATAGGCCATAATGCTATATGCAGGAAATTTAATATAATTTTAATTATGCTCTCTTGTTCCTAACTTTTATTTGGTTTCTACGACAGGAGTAGAATCTTTGACTTGGCTTGTTATAATGTGCTGAACCAGAAATTAACAATTCATTTTTTGATCTTGCCTGCTCTTGAACATAGTCTCTGTAGTTAGTTTAGAGACTGCTGCGTTGTAAGAACCCAAAACTGGGTTAATTGAATCAAACATGGTAAAGATAACCCACAGGTTAGCGAATCACATAGAGACAACACTATATGGTCTGTTCAGGATCACACTTCATCCTTGCACTTTGGCTTGCTGTTGGGAGAAACAGCAGCAGCAACAACAACAACAAAAATCAGGGTCAAAGAAGAAAGTACTTGAACAAAATCAATAACGAAGGAAGGTTTGAAGTAAATGTTGAAAAATCAGGGAGTGATGTAAACTTCAAAGAAATTGGAGACAGCAAAAGGAGAACATGTACAAGGAATCATTTTCAAAGTTCCTTTTCCCCTCCCTCAAAAAAAAATCAGTAAAACTAAGGGGTCCTTGGTGCTCTCTGAACTTGGCGGTTTTCTTGCAGACTGTTTATTACCAAACTAGGTAAGTATCATCAGTGCTAGAAAGGGGTGGGGTCTTATTTGTATATATTAGTGGCTTATCCAATCAGTATTGATGGGAGTGGTCTTGGTAGTTCCTTGATGAGAGTGTTGTTTACTGTTAGCTTGTTTCTCTGGTTGGTAGTTTCTTGATTGCCATGTTGTTTATTTGATTGATGGTCAAATGTTAATCTTGGTGTGAAGTAAAACTGAGCGGTAGGCTTTAAAATTCTGAGCCCAATTCCAAACAAAAATATTAAACCTTTTCTCTAGTTGTATTCCTGAATGATTATAAAGCCCATATCTTGGAAAAAGATAAGACTTTCACATTCATGGAGAGTCCTAGATCTGGAAATCCAATCTATATACCATCTTCAGTTTGGTGGGACTAATACATCCCAACTACCTTTTTAAAAGTAAAAGCAAAATGCCAACCTCGTCAACTCTTGTACATCGAACAGAGAGACGTTTTCTATCTTGTTATCTTCCTCGGGCCAAAAAATTGTTTCTTGGACTATCTACGCTGCTCAAATGTATTTGCTTCCTTCCTGAACCTGTGGGGAACCTTAAGTAGAATTGAAGAATCTCAAAAAAAAATTGCTCATTTTAACAATGACTGTCCAAATCCACGGGGCTCAAGAGCTTAATTAAAGACAGAGGGGAAGGTGACAGGGGAGGAAGGAAGGAGACAGAATCAAAGAAACACTATGAAAAATGAATGCTAAAGTAGTTGGAAAGGATCCATGGGTAGGGGAAACAGCAGAAAGCATCTGGCACCATTGTACATGATTGATGTTTGAAGTCATGAAGTGTCAAGGAGAGAGAGAGAGACATAGAATATGTCATACAAACACAATCCAGGGAAATGGCAAAAGGGCAAAGTATGTGCTGGTTTTTGTATTTCTCTGATGATCCAATAGGTTGAAAACAGCTACAAGGAAGACTGTATTCACAACTATAATGTAACTGAGTGGGGTTCTGCAGAAGCATTCTGCATATTTTTCAGACACTTGTTGTTAAGTCAAATGAAAGAGAAGTTGCTTTAGAATATATTCCAAAAGTAAGAGAATTTGAGAAACTTTCCTAGGAAGAATGGACCATCGTCCTTCCAATTCTTTAGTAATGAGGAGGTCATTGTTTAAGTTAGGTGAAATGTTATATCTTTCCAGCAGACTATGTCTTCTCTGGTTTTCCATCTTTCACCAAACTTGGAGGGAGGACATCCAGCTGGAATTCCTTCATGAGGAAAGGAACTATTGGAGATTTTTTTTTTTTCCTTCTCAAAGTGAAATCTGGTGAAATTGTCCAGGCAATATCTCTATCCACAATCTTGGTGAGAAGTTTGAAATGCCGTATGTCCTTAGCTCTAGGACCATGCAGATAAAGATCTCCTTGCAACATTTGAAGTGTCCTTAGTATTTCCAGGCAGGACATTCAGATAAATACATTATTGAGACCTTCCTTCTTTCAGATTAAAAAGAGAGAGAGGCAATGTTCTTCACTTAGGAAAATAAATCACACAGGTAGAAGATGTGGGACTCATGACCTGGTAATGTGAAGAGAATCTTGGAACAGCAGTTGATCACCAACTGAATATGAATCATATCTGCTAAAAAGGGAAATATAGAGGGCCCATTGCGCTGGTAGAAAGAGTTTACAGATCATGTGTAATAATAATAATTCAAATAAATTCTGTAATATTAGACACTACATTAAATACAGAAAGTCCTCAACGTACGACCACAATGGAGCCCAAAATTTTGGTTATTAAGGGAGACATTGGTGAGGTGAGTGTTCTTGACATAGTTGTTTTAAATGAATCACTGCAGTTGATAAATTAGTAACCTGGTTGTTGTCAGAAGGTCACAACTGTTATTATCATCTTTTGATTCATTTTCATTTGTTATGTCCTTCAGAACCAAGTTTATTCTAAAACTCTGCTGCTCCATACTTGCTGTCTGAAAAATTCCAACGGACAGAATTCTTCTTTGAAGTCTTCCTTTGCACTTGGACTGGAATGTGAAAGACCAGGTAACTGAAAAGACGACAGTACTGTGAAATGCAGCATTTTCACATATTTCATATTTTATTTCGTTTATTTGAATTTATAAGCCACGAAACCTCAATAGACTTTGCTCATTCCTCCTCATAACAAAGAGACAGTCAAGACTTTTACACTCCTACATGACATTTTTGCCATTGTTCTTCTTCTCCTCTAATGAGCCTTGGGAAAGACATTTTATTTTTTATTAAATTGAAGGTGAATGCCTAAAAAACAATGAGGAAGCAACAAAGCACCACTGCGACTCAGAAGGAGTAGAGCTTAAAATGAATTACAGCTTAGCATTCCTATAGGGTAATCTTTGCGCCACGGCCAGTTATTGGGTTTTTATTTCTATGTAAGAAACTACACAAAGCTTTCCTGTTTGGGAACGGGACCTTCCCTAGATAGCATTAGCTACCATATCCCAAAGGTGCTTTTTCAAAAGGCAACTGGACTTTGTTTTTCCTTGAAGACATTTCGTGTCTCATCCAAGAGGCTTCTCCAGTTCAGAACTCAAAAACAAAGTCCAGTTGTCTTTTGAAAAAACACCTTTGGGACAACCATGGTTGAGAATCTCCATAGAAACTAGCTACTATCTTTTCTCATGGTTTAGATTTCTGCTTTGATCTCGAGATATGACTTATTAGTGATGTTCACACAACTTGAATAGGTCACTGGTTTAGATTTTTATGTTTAGAGTGTGATGTGGACTTAGATCATTGACTTAATAGGTTCCTCGTTAGAAAGAATTATTCAAGCTATGAGAATGGGTTAATCCAGTAACCAGGTTAAACATATAGTAGGAATACAACCTGCAAGTCTGATCTCTAGTGTGCCTTTTGTTTTCTGTTTCAGCCCTGTCCATAGCTCAGTCGGCTCTAGGTAGTTCCATGCTTGATCTCCTAGTAATAGCTTGAACTCCACTTGAACAAAGAGTTCAGCAATCAAAGTTCTGTCTGTCAGGAATTTCAAATTGACTTGGATCTTCATATATTCAATGAGCCTAGAAGCATGGGGAGAAAAAAAAGCAAGCAGCTTGGGGACAGAGCATGAGTCAAAAAAAGGTCACATTTAGCAACCCAGTTGGTCCATGACCATCCCTCCAACCTACTCTGTTTATTAAAAGAACAGAAAGTTTGATTATCTCAAGCTCCTCAAAATGAGGATGGAGGGGAAAAAACACTGCAAAAAGGACATCAATATGGGAGAACAGACTATTGAGGAATGTATTAACCTGTAACCATTTCAGCAGATGACCATACCTGGCTGACCTTGGAACTGAAGGAGGCCAGGCCTCCAGCGGTGTACATTAGAATGGGAAGTCAAAGAAGCATCAGAAACCATTTCTGCATTGTTGTCAGTAAAAAGCATTGACAGGTCTCTGAGGTCATCAGAGGTTGAGCTGGATTCAAAAGAGATTTTACCTTTTATCCCACATGATAAGTCTAAAGTTCTGTTAACTGGTTGCCATGGCAGAAGGTAAGCTGTTCTGCATAAAATTATAGATCACCTGTTTTATCCAATCTTACTGCCCTGTCTCAAATATAAGCACAGTATTTTAAATCAACAGGAGCAGACATAGATTGAGAAACAACTTAGAGCAAAATTAAAATTAGTACCGTTGAACAAATGACTCATTGTGTTTTAAATACATCTTCATGTTGTGCTTCTTACACACAGATTGGAATCTTGGCACACTTAAGTTTATAAAACACTGAATCGTTGAGTGGGGGGGGGGGAAAGGAGCTCAACATAAAATATTAAAAAGGTAACAGTAGTAGCAAATGTAGAAGCAAAAGTCTGGAAAAATTGGAGAAAATTCAATTTATACTAAACAATAAAACCATGCCAAGACTGAATTCTGTCAGGAAGCATTACATAGAGTTTTAATATATAGGCTTCTAAAGAATTGTGTTTCAAAATGGAATGACTTTACAGCATCAAAGCTGAGGACTGGGACAACTGAAGTAATTTTATTAGTCAAATTTATTTATTAATCAAATTTGTATGGCTGCCTATGTCACAAAAAGCAACTTTGGGCAATATACAACAACTAAATAAAACAACATCTATATATAGGAAAATCGTTATAAAAATATAAGAGCACTATTGAAAATTAGAATATTATTAAAAAATTAAAATATACAAACTACTGTACACAGAGACAGTGAATATAACAACTGCTGTGGAGATATCTAAAAATGTCTGCCAATCCCTGGCTTGATGAAAACCAGATCTTGAAGAACTTCTGGAAAGTTAACAGATGGAATTAACCTTATTGGGGGGAGGAGGAAATATTCCATAAGGTGGGCCCCATAGCAGAGAAGGCCCGCCTTCTGGGACCCATCAAGTGTAAATCCTAGTTCACAGGACTCATAGTATGCCTTCTGTGCCAGATCTATGGGACTGGTAGATGTAATTGGGGAGATGTGATGCTTCTGATTACACAATCCCATGCCATGAAGAATTTTCAAGGTTAAAACCAGCACTTTGAATTGGACTTGGAAGCAAACTGGCAGCCAATGCAGCTCATGGAACAGAGATGCGCTTTGTGTTCTTCCAGGAGCGTGCACAAATGCTCATGCTACTGCTTTCTGCACCACTTGAAGGTTCTAAATACTCCTCAAAGGCAGCCCCAATATGTTAATGACTAGGGCATGATCCTATGCTGAAATTTTGCGGTCTGTTCTAAGCAGGAAGTTTTCTCGTTTTATTAACTCTCTGAAACATTTTCCTCATGTCTGAAGTCTAAAGATTGGAAAAAGCAATTTTTGCTAAGTACTAATATAAAAGAAGAGTGTGGATGGATGGATGGATGGATGGATGGATGGATGGATGGATGGATGGGTGAATGCATGGACAGCCGGGATCTTCTGAAGACAGCAGCATTGATTAAACCTCCTGTTTGGCACTGAACATCCTGCCAAGAAAATTCCGACAAGTTTTGAAATACTTTCTGGTTCCCTGAAGTACTGCTTTGAAAGCTACATTCTAGCTTTGGGTATAAAGTCATTTGGCAAATACATCTCCATGATAGTCAGATTTCAAAACTTTAACCCAAAGCAGGTTGTTCATTCTTTTGTTGATGTCCCTGTTACTTCTAAAGTTCTGTGCATTTGGAATGAAGCAGGGGGATGGTGGGGGAGAGGGAGAGAGAGAGAGAGAGAGAGAGAGAGAGAGAGAGAGAGAGAGAGAGAGAGAGAGAGAGAGAGAGAGAGAGAGAGAGAGAGAAGAAAAGTAGTATAATTCACTCCTGATGTCATTTGAAATGCTCATGGGTAACCAACCATCAGCCATCCATAAAAGCCATAGGTGAAATCTAATTTTCATAAGCACCAATCAACGCTGCAGATACTCTAGGCAGTTTGAATCTAATTCATGAGCATTTCACCGAGAGAATGGAAAGGTCTAAATCTGCCCATTTTTTTTATATTTAAAATGAATAATTCAACTGGCTCTATAAAACATCTATTTTAAACGCATTATACCACAGCAGACAATGTTCTCCTTGGGGTTCTGTATATCATGATAACATTCAAATCATTCATTGCTCTTGAGATGCAGACAATACCAGAATGTCACCTGCTGGATAGAATGCTGCCTTTACATTTGCTATGACACAGTCTGCTTGCTGCGATAAATAGAGGGCTTGTATATCCCCACCAGTAAGGGGTGAGGTTAGGCAAGTAAGAAAAGGAATTCCTGACTAATGGGAAAAACTATTTCATTTAAGAGGTGAACCTAATTGATCAAGATCAGAAAGTCCTCACTCATACAGAGAAGAGCAAGAAAGGTGATTAGGGGACTGGAGGTTAAAACATATAAGGAACGGTTGCTGGAATTGGGGATGTCTAGTCTATTGAAGAGAAGGACCAGGGGTGACAGGAGAGCAGTCTTCCAATATCTCAGGGGTTGCCCCAAAGAAGAGGGAGTCAAGCTATTCTCCAAAGCGTCTGAAGGCAGGACAAGAAGCAACTGGATGGAAAGTAAGCAAAGAGAGAAGCAACCTAGAACTAAGCACTTAGCTTTCTTGATGGTCCAACTCCACTTAAATTCTAAAAGAAGACAGCACAAGAGACAGAATCCATGCACTTTGAAGTACAGAGAAACACATTTTTTTTCTCCTGTAATTTAAGCTGGGAAGAGGAGAAAAGAATTCTTACCAGAACATTTTTCTTGAGCATTTTACTCACACAGCAAAGGCAGGGAGCTGACACCACTAGCTCAGCGCCTTCAGAGTTAACCGTTCCATTCTTTGCTTTCTGCACTTCTCCTTATGCATCCTCATGTATTCTGGCCATTCATCTGCAGTGCTTGTCCCTCCCTGCCACAGGCCCAGCATTGCTAAAGGAGAAGAAAATGGGTCTGAAGAATATAATAGCTGGAGAGAAGGAATGTCATTATGCAATGTTTCTCCCCAAAAGAAGATCAGCTGTGCTTTGAAGGGGGATTAATCCTCCTGGGGGAGTCGAGATATACGTTACATGGAAATATGAGTAATTTACTCCAGTTAGCTGAAGACTTTTTGAAAGTAACTGGACTAATAGAAGGCTTCTTAATTTTTCAAGTGTTAGTCCTTCTGTAGCCTGACGGGCATTATCAGCATTCAAGAAGAGACCGTCAGATAGAAAAGAAAATCAGTCCTATTTCGAACCTGGTTTTTATTCAACTTAAATGCTCATTCTGGGAATGAGGCAAGCTGTTGAGTGGCAGGGATTGAAAAGCGTTCTACAGCTTTTGGTCACCAAATCACATATCACAAGAACATTTAGGGCAGTGGTTCTCAACCTTTCTAATGCCGCGACCCCATAATACAGTTCCCCATGTTGTGGTGACCCCCAACCACTTATACATCACCGGGTGCCAGGGGCGTGGCCAAAGAAAAGGGGGAAAAAATGGCGGACAGCCTTGTTTGGTGACCCCCGTGAAATGATCGTTCGACCCCAAATGGGGTCCCGACCCACAGATTGAGAACCACTGATTTAGGGTGGAAAATGCATTGCCTTCCCTAAAATGCACATTCCCTCCCTATCTGTTCTTGCCAGCTGCAGCCAAGATGGATTTTTTTTTCCAGACAAAAGACTGTGTTTCCCTGGCTGATGGCAAGTTACAGGTAGTCTTTGCCATACAACAGCTCATTCTGTGCTGCTTCGAACTTACAATGGCACTGAAAAAAGTCACTTAGGACTGTTTATCACATTTATGACCGTTGCAGCATCCACATGATCACGTGATCAAAATTCAGATGCTTGGCAACTGACTCATATTTATGACGGTTGCAGTGTCTTGGGGTCACGGATCCCCTTTCGACAAGCAAAGTCAATGGGGAAGCCAGCAGGAAGTCAGAGGTTGCTCCTGTGCTGTTCCATCTACCAGCACCTCCTCACAATAACTGCATTACTAATTTAGCAACTATAGTGATTCACTTAATAATTATGGAAAGAAAAGTGGTAAAATGGAGCAAAACTCACTTAACAACTGGCTTGCTTAGCGACAGGAATTTTGGGCTCAGTTGTGCACAGGGATATTGGAGCTTATAACAATTTAAGACACCTCAAATGGAAAGCAGTTGAAAATTAAGTTTTAGGAGGATATATTAATCTCAGTATCTAAGGTTTGTTGCCTTTTACCAGTGACCAGAGAAGGAACTACTATAAAAATAAAATATGATGGTTCAACAGCCTGAAAGGCACAGAAAAGCAGCTATATATCCATCTTCCCTCCCTTTCTTCCATATCTCTTTGAAAGTATTAAAGTGTCAGAAATTATAAAAGTAATCAATATTTATTTATTATTCAATTTCTATAGCTACTAAACAGAGCTTGGATAAAACCTAAGCCAGCTTCATACAAGTAGCCTAAATGAAGCAATAAATAAATAAAATTTCTATCACTGCTATCTATAAAGCAGACTTTAGCCTGTTTGATTTTAATCTTTCTTGAATAAATAGAAAATTCCTAAAATGGTTATAAGTCATGAGTGGTGTTAGATACACAGTCCATTAAACCTATAATTTATAGGTTATTAAATTGCTTTACAAAGTTGTGGGGTTTTTTTCTTTCTTTTTTTGTCACAGGGGAATAAAGTTACATGAGAATCTGTCTCATAAGATCTCAACTGGCAGAGGTTTTAGGGAGGAAACTGTCCCAGTTTTACTTAAAGATCTTGAGAATTCCACCGGGATTCTTTATATGCAGAGGACATGTTTTTCCACTATGTAGCTGCTCTCATCATGGTTGGTCGTCCAAACAACTTAATTGTCTTCACAGAACAGTTTGGAGAAGTAACAAAATGATTGGTTGCTATCCACCTCCAGACATGTCCTGCTCAAGTATAGTGTACTGTTTGAAATTATGAGATGGGTTGATATTTTTCATTTATGATAATGAAACCACCTTAACTAGAATCAGCTCAGACTAAATATCAGGTGATAAATGAGTATCTTCCTTTATCAACATTATTCCTTTTAAAGTCTCAAATTTCAATTCAGGAAGGAAGGAAGGAAGGAAGGAAGGAAGGAAGGAAGGAAGGAAGGAAGGAAGGAAGGAAGGAAGGAAGAAAGGAAGGAAAAGGGTTGAAGGAGAAGGAAATTATAGGTATTACTGTTTAACTGTGATTTGGTCAACATACTAATCATTGAGTAACCCAAAACCTGATACGGTATATAAACACAAACATAGATCAGGAAGCAAGTATGAAAATGTTCTTGTTTGTCCACAAAAGTGAGACAGTTGAATTGCAAACTCTGAACTTAGAACTGTACATTTGGGACCACCAAGGAGATGCTGGTTTAAATAAAACATTTCCATCATCAAAGAATAGCATTTTAATATTTCTAAAGCTCCACATACAGTCTGCTTCCAAAATGAATATGCATGATAGACAATAGATAATAGCCGCATAATTTAATTGTCAAGAGTAGTTTGCTTCATCTTGAATAAGCATATGCATATATATGAATGTAAATGTTGTGGGCATATTTTTAGCACCAGATCATGGTATCATTACTTAACTCCAGTAAACAGGCAAGGAGGCATATTTTGAACTGATGAGAGATCTGAACCCTTAGTAAGAACAGTCCTGCATATCAGAAATTAAAAGAGACTAATAAAGTGTCAACAACTGCCATCCTATTTTACACAGCATTACACTAATACTGCAGTCCTCTCTGTTCAAAAAATAAATCTGCCCATCCATCTGTCTCCAACACTATCAGCTTTTCAGAAAAAGTTGAAAATAGAGCTTTACTTTGAGGTTGGGTGGTGGTCTTGAGTAACTGATGCCATCTATTGTTTTTGGATGTTTCAAGCTTTTTATTTGAATGTGTTTTTACAGCGAGCCATCAAGAGCCTTCTGTGATTGTGGCAGAATACAAATGTGATGAACACCACCATAAATAAATACATCTCACCGAACTGACTTCTGATTCCAAGTATGTATGCGTAAAATTGGAATACACTTTAATTACATTCATTTGTTCCTCAGTCTCTAACCATTAGATCATGAGAGAGAGAAAGGAGGGGCTAGAAGAAAGTTGGGGAGAGCTACAGCATGCTAATTTTCATTGGATGCATGGAATTAATTTTCAGGAAATTTCCTTCTTCTAGATCAAAGGCTTGGAGAGGGATGAGCAAACTATTTCGGGACCCAGTGGAATAAATACCAAAATTATACAACTTCTTATTTCAAATGCGAGCAACTCCTATGTGAAACAGAATGGAGGAAGAGATATTCACTGCTGAATGGATTAGTCCATTAGTTTTGGATCAGAAATAACACGAACATTCAGATTGACAGAAACTCAGTAGAAAGAAATCCAGTTCAGCTGAGAATTCTTTGAATTGCAATTAAAAAGAGGAAACACACTATGAACAACAGTAAAAGGAAAGCTCATCTGAATCAAAGTTGATTCCCGGTGTCCTTATCACACATCCATACAGTTGTGTAGGCAACAATTACCCCCTTGATTTTTAATAAAAATATTTATTTATTAAATTTACATGCTACCATGCTCCTCATTAAGATAACTCTGGGCAGGTTATAAATAGCAATATATATATATAAATATAAATATATATGGTTATATAAATATATATAACCATATATATTTATATATATATGTTTTCTGAGGTTTTCGCGGGTGTTTGTATGTAGGTCTTTGGTTGTTCGGGTTTTCTCCCGCATAAAATTGGAAGTGTCTTGGCGACGTTTCGACGAAGTCCCACTCGTCATCTTCAGGCTGGTGTTTTCAGCTTCGTGCTTCGAAGCTGCTTCATTGAAGCTTCGTGCTTCATTGCTGCTCGAAGCACGAAGCTGAAAACACCAGCCTGAAGATGACGAATGGGACTTCGTCGAAACGTCGCCAAGACACTTCCAATTTTACGTGGGAGAAAACCCGAACAACCAAAGACCTACATATATATATATATATATATATATATATATATATATATATATATATATATATATATATGCAATTAAGATTTTGAAAAGTATATCAAAACTAGAACTCCTGATTGGGGAATTTTAAGAGTCCGTGCATTTTTAAGTTGCCAAGGTCAAGGATCACAGGTCTAGCATCTTGGAGCAATGAGAGTCTTTTATGAATGATCAAAAAATGCATTTCAATTGAATCTTCTCTTGCAAATACCCCTTGAATCATGAAAAAGGTCAGAAATGCTTAGAAATTTGATGAACTATTGATGCCTCTCCTTACCACCTCTCCATCCCATGATGCAAAAGACTACAGACAGTCCTCAACTTACGACTTTAATAGAGCCCAAAATTTACGTTGTTATGTGAGTTTGACCCCATTTTATGACTTTTCTTGCCACATTTGTTGAGTGAATCGCTGCAGTTATTAAATTAATAACCGATCAAGCGAATCAGGCTTCCCATTGGCTTTGCAAACGGGGATCACATGATCCTGAGACACTGCAATCATCATAAATGTGAATCAGTTGTCAAGCATCCAAATGTAAATCATGTGACCATGGGGGTGCTACAACGGTCATAAGTGTGGAAAAGGGTCATTTTTTTCAGTGCCATTGGAACTTGAAATGGTCACTAAATGAACTGTTGTAAGCTAAGGACTACCTATATAAACTAAAAAATAGAAATAGTCAGACTCCACATCATACTGAAAACCCCAAATATACTATATTGCTTTCCATACTCAGCTCTATTTATTGTGAATGCCTACACAACAATTTCGTTTATGGATTGTTTACTCCTTACACTGACTCCCCAACATCCTGAAAAAACAAATAAGAGCTCCATCTTCGTATTGAAAGTTTGCAGGAACCGTAATCTCTCTCCTTGTTCATTTCCCTCCATGCACATGAGTATCATATACAGTTAAGTGGTGATGATTAAGGTTGCAAAAAATTGTTTTCTTTAGGCAAAAGAAGCCATTTACAAAAATGGTTTTCCTTGCAACTCTATTCCATATTTATAGCTCCCTATAGGATCTTTAAAGACCAGAGTATCATAAATAGTGATTTACAAGCTATTTTTAATCTTGGTTACAGAAAGCAAAATACTAAATTAGTGTGGTGCCAACATTTTCTTGTGTTTTTCCCCTAACATTCTTAGTCCCTTTGATGGAAGAGAAATCTATTTAGCGGAATATATTCCTCTATTTATGGCATGGCATGATGGCCTAGAGGTGAAAACGCTCGCCTCCCACTCGGAAGATTGAAAGTTCAGTGCTAGGCCGTGGTAGATTTCTCTCTATCAGGGTGCAAAGAGAAAATATTTGCTGTGAACAACATGTAGGCATCAGGAAGGGCATCTGGCCAGCAAATGCTCAGCTCCAATCAGTTGCTCTAACCCCACCCCAAAGCAAGGGATTACAGGATTGTCAAAAGAAAAAAAATCCTCTATTTATTTCCAATAGAGAGAGACTCAGTCTTCTGGTTTCTAAGCCAGCCCCTGAACTGTTACACCAAGCTCTCTCTTTTACCAAGAGTATCACCAAATTTCTTTTCCTTTGGAAAAAATTGAAAACAAATGTCCAAAGATGAGTGTTTCTTATCAAAATGAAGCAGAACTGCAGAAGATTTTTTTTCTGATCAGTACTCATCTCGGCATTGGTTGCCCCCAAGATTTCTTCATGGGGTCTTCATCATAAAACTTGAGTGAATTAAATTATCTAAAATCACTCAAATGCTGCCAAATGATAAATTGTTATGATTATGCCTTAGGAGTGTATTGCCTAGTTTAGCTTCTCAACATTATGTATTAAGGAGTCAATAAATAGGAGCCAGGGCCTTATTTCTATTTTTATTCATAGTTAAGTATTTTGTACATTGAATCCAGGACTGATGGAACGGTGTTGCATAAATGCTGCATTTCCTTCCATATCTAATAGTTATCTCTACATTCAGCTTGTCCATTCCCCCCCCCGCTCAGATTAATAAAGAGATTGTCTTGCCATATATTCTCAAATACCTTTCCTCGCCTTCATCAAAGACCATCTGAGAACCAAGTATACATGTGCTAACAAGTCCTTTGGAAAGAAAGTCATTGATTTTATAATCCCATCAATAACCAGAAGCTCAAACCTGCAGGCCATTTCACATCAAAACTGTTTTTCATCTATGTAGGAAAAAAGATCGAAGACATGTTTGTGTATTTCTTATGGAACTGCTCCTCCATTGGAACAAGGGGACATATGACTGATGCTCTTTTTATCCAACAGTAGAATACTTTAATCTTTATCCAACAGTAGAATACTTTAATCTGTGTAGAGCAACATCATTTCTGTGCTAAATTCATTAAACCACATAGAGAGATCTGAAGTTACACCCTTGGTTTTTAATCTTGGGAATTTGAGCTGAAAATGCTTTCCTCCAAATTTTCTTCTTTTTTTTCATTTCTTTTATTGAAAAATAAATTATCCTGTATTGTCTGGGTTTAATTCACTGTTTAAAAATGGAATCATAATGACATTTTAATAGCTTGTGATATAGATGGACAGAGAGAAAGAACAAAAGAAAGAAAGAGAGAGAGAGACCGTAGATTATGATGATGATGAAGATGATAGATAGATAGATAGATAGATAGATAGATAGATAGATAGATAGATAGATAGATAGATAATGGATGGATGGATGGATGGATGGATGATAAATAATGGATGGATAGATAATATTCAGAGAGGTAACTTAGCTGTGCTTTTCCTGTCTTCAGCCTGATCCTTCAAAGCTAGATTTGAAATTTCAATGTCCAGTAATAATCTCATGGCACCAAGGAAGTAGATTTCCAGAAGGTTTTCAGTGTCCAGTAATGATCCCATATTCCACCAGAGAAGTAGATTTCAAATCAGCAGTATGCATCTGGTGCCATTAGCAACTTCCAATGGTTTAGATTCTATGGCCTTCTCAAAGCTGTACATAAATACTGTTGGCCTGAATATTGGTTGCCTTTTTTCCTTCCCTTCTTTCTTTTCCCGATAATTTAAAGAGTTCTACATGTTTTCAAGGCCAGTTTTGAACCATCGCTAAGGCTTCTGTTTCTTCAGTGAAATTGAAGGACACATTTGGGTGCAATATTAAATACCACAATCAGGAACAATCTGGCATTTCCTATCACCAGCTCATTTAAGCAAGCAGGCACTGACTTCTTAGACATTGATATGCTTGTCATTCTGATGAAGCAGATTCAAATAACTGAATTCATTTAAGTGTCTGCAAACGATAGATTATTAATATAAAAAGTAAAAGAAAAAGAAAAAAAGAAAAACATCCTTATGTGATCTCAAAACTTTGTCTGGAAGGAGAAAACAAATAACAAATAACTACCATGCACTCTATCGATTTTATTGTGTTGGGTTTGTCAAATTTTCTCTGATTGAGAAGAATTTTTGCTTGGCATAGATTCTCCAGCTCTCCACCTTCCTTGCTAAGCCCAAAAGTTGTCGAAGAAACTTCTTTGTGAATGCACAATTTATTCAGATGCAGCTCATTGTGGCTGGAAACTTCTTAATCCAGAAAGTTGTTCCAAAGATAAATCTGACAGTTTGTCTACCCTATAAGAATGCTTCACACATAGATCCATAAGTAAGTGTGTGTGTGTATGTTTATGTGTGGGTATATAAGTTGGAAAATAAATTGACCTCCTCTTCTTTGTGGCAGCCCCTCACATATTAAAACACTACTATCACTACTATCATGTTACCCCAGTCCTTCTTTTCACTAAACTAGACATACCCAATTCCTGCAACCGTTCTTCATATGTTTTAGCTTCCACAGTTCAAAGTTAAAACTGCTTAGCACTTTCAATCTTGATTTTTATTTTGATACGTATCTGCAAAAGGATCTCTCTCTCTCTCTCTCTCTCTCTCTCTCTCTCTCTCTCTCTCTCTCTCTCTCTCTCTCTGCATGTGTGTACACACATACACAGTTTTAATTTTCCAATGAGTTTCTTGGTATTGTTTTATTGCTGCATTGAGTAAACAAAGATTTTGTTTGTATTTGTACATGAGTATGTATAATACGTGATTATTTATGGATAGAGATTATATATTTGGAAAGATGGGAATAGAATAGAATAGAATAGAATAGAATAGAATAGAATAGAATAACAGAATTGGAAGGAGCCTTGGAGGTCTTCTAGTCCAACCCCCTATACATTTCTCACAAATGGTTGTCCAGTCTCTTCTTAAAAACTTTCCATGTTGGAGCATTCACAACTTCTGGAGGCAAGTTATTCCACTGGTTAATTGTTCTAACTGTCAGGAAGTTTCTCCTTAGTTTTAGGTTGCTTCTCTCCTTGATTAGTTTCCATCCGTTGCTTCTTGTCCTGCCTTCAGGTGCTTTGGAGAATAGGTTGGCCCTGTCTTCTTTGTGGCAGTCCCTGAGATATTGGAATACTGCTATCATGTCATCCCTAATCCTCCTTTTCATTAAAACTAAATTACACTGTTAATAATATTTAAACAAAATACATCCATCATAGAATTGGAACAAAATTCCATAATTAATCAGTGTGCTCTCCATAGATGATAGACAAGAAAACAATCTAGTACCATTTTTGTTCTTCTTTACAAATATTTGTCCAGTTAGTTACTTTGGAGGAATGTGACATAATAGTAATTAGTTTGATGATGATGATGATGACAATATTGATTATGGTGGTGATAATGATAGATTGCAGCAAAGTAAAACTAGCATTCCTTACCCTATCAATGACATCACTGATTTTTACAATAAGCCATAATATGGAATGACAGAAAATGGAATCTATACAAAGAATTCTGCTATTTGCTTTCTTAACTGCTTGTCTATGCTCATTCACAACCATCATCCTTGCAAGATGACAAGGAAATGTTATTTTTAAAACAAATTTAAAAGGTGGGTCTGCGATCCATTTTACTGTGAAGTCTCGCCATTTATTTTTATTTGTTTTATTTTTGGCCTTCAACCACCCTGTCAATTTGAAATGCTCTCAGAAGCCTTGCTAAGAACTGACAACCTGGGTTTGTGACATTCTCATTATAGTCCTGGGTTTTCTGAAAAGCTGGCAGGAATAGTAAACAACTCAGGGGGTTTTGTTGTTGATGTTGTGGTGGTTGCTGACACAATGCAGCATGATGAATTCCAGATTTGTTTACTAAAACATACACATTAGTATGTATGTGTTTGTTCCAGTCACTTTTAAAGTCTCTTTCCTTAAACACAGTAAGCATAACACAATAAATATATAAAAATAATGGGATTAGTTATTTTCCACCTATTCTAAGGCATCAGAACTGCAGGAAGCCATATATGTTCAGTTTTTTTTCTTGTCAAAGCCTGTCCTGACCACAACTGTCCAAGCTTCGTTGTACAGCTTCTTGGCTTATAGAGTCAGGAAATAAAATAACCACGTAATGCTCTAACATAGAAATATTTCTGAACATAGCATCTCACCAAAATCCAGAGGAGAAAAAAAAAAAACAACCAGAACTTTTCAGCTGTATCCATTACTTGGCCCATTTCACCTGCCCATGTGATTCAAACTCTTTTCAATATTCAAAAATATTAAGCCCAGTCTGTAGCCCTAAAAGGTTATTCAACCTGATCAACACCAAAACATAAGATGGAGAATTTAAGCCCCCAAATCTGCCACAAACCAGCTTAGACTACTTGTCCAGCTGGGAGAGTTTTGACCAAGTTAACATCTCATTTCAAGAGGGACTAGAATGGGACAAGATATCTTCTCATTAGTTGACAACGTTAATACTGTATTGGTGGTAGAGGAGGGCACAGTAGCCTAGCATTTAAGACATTGGGCTGTTGACCAGAAGATTGACAGTTTGAGACTCAAGCATCCCATGACAGGGTAAGTCCCTATTTTTGCCTCAGCTCCTGCCAACCTAGCAGTTAAAAAGCATGCAAATGCAAGTAAATAAATAGGTACCACACACCTTGGCATATAGTCATGCTGGCCATATGTCCATGGAAGTGTCTTCAGACAACATTGGCTCCCTCAGCTAGAATCAGACACGACTGGGCAGGGGAAACCTTTACCTATTAGTGTGTTGTGAGGATGCATGCTAACGCTATTGGGCCAATCCCTCATAGTCTAAATCAGTGGTAGGCAACCTTGGCTCTTTTATGACTCGTGGACTTCAACTACCAGAATTCCTGAGCCAGCATGGCTCAGCATGGAAACCTCTCCCTTTCCCCTCAGCATGGCTGGCTCAGGAATTCTGGGAGTTGAAGTCCACGAGTCATCAAAGAGCCAAGGTTGCCTACCCCTGGTCTAAATCAACTGGAATGGGAATCACAGATTGAAGGATGGTGGTAAATGGCTCTTCTGGAGACATGGCAGAGGAGATGCAGCCAGTAAGTTTAATTTAGCTCCTCCCACTCACATAAATACAATAATCAGAGAGAAGATCATACCTGAAAAGAATTAAGAATGTAACCCTGTTCACATAATTTACTGTTCAGTTTTTGGAGACATACAACATGCTAGGCTAGACTAAAACAGGGTCAAGTGATTTTTGGAACAATGTCCTGGTGGAACCCAGCCATTACTTCAGTGGGTTGGTAGGTTCAGGCCATTTTGTTAAACTAAACATGTCTATATTTTTTATGGATAGATGAATATGGCATCTGTTTAATCTGGGTTTACAGTTTGGCATGTTGTGTGACCTCATCCACTCAGCAATGAACTAGTGGCTGAGTTCAAAATTCATTTCAGCTATGGGTTTGTTTGCTATCCCTGGTTTATTAAAAAGCAACTGTATTACTGTATCTTTCTTCTTTTTGGTTTGCGTAGTTAGCTTTTTAAGTTTATTGCTTCTACAAATTTAGAATTAAATATATATTCTTTGTTCTTAATTGCTATTATTTGAACTATTTAAAACCCTCATAAAAGTGTAATTTTTTGGAGTTGCTTTATAAGAGGTTCTCTTTAATTGTCTTTTAGTTCTCAGATTTGGCATTCAGACAAGGTCTTCTGATATCTCATTGTCTTTATCAGAGATAGATTAAGTGTTCATTAATTGGCAGCCATTCAGAGCTTTGGCTGGGGTGAGAGGTTTCTGACTCAGCACCTTCAGATTTTTCCTCCACAGCAAAATTTGTGTACAACAGATCTTGACCTTCTTTCAAAGATTCAAAGAACTACATGATATATATATATATATATATATGTATGTATGTATGTATGTATGTATGTATGTATGTATGTATATATATATATCTTATATATTGGAATGGTAGAATAGAATAGAATAGAATAGAATAGAATAGAATAGAATAGAATAGAATAGAATAGAATGCATTTTCCTTTTATATCTGCATTTTATATCTGGTCTAATTCCTCTTTTATTTTAAACAATTTCTTAATTGTTTCATTCTGTGTTGGTCTTTGACTGCAACAAACTTTGACCTGACTTGACACAGCCGTCCATTTTGTCAAAAATCTTGGCCAACTTTTGGATTGCCCTAAGCTTGGGTAAAATCAAACTAGGCTAAACATCCCTTCCACATAATTCTTGATTTTTCTTCTGCAATTTGGTAAAAAAATAGAAAATGATATTTTTCCCCAAAAGGAAAGAAAATTGTGTTAAGTAGAAGGACCGGTGTTTTGACTAGTTACAAAATAGTTTCTTATGTGCTACAGAAGACTGTGATTTCCACCAAATATAATCTGAGGAATTCATTCTGCCATTGGCAATCTCTGCCGCTTAATTTCACTGACTGCGTAGACCAGACTTAACATACACAAACACTAGTTATAAAAATCCTGCATGTATCTTTCCCTGGTTCCCTGAAGTTATCATCCTATGCCCTTCATGTTAAAACATTTTATTTCAAGCCATTATACAATAGACTTTGCCATCTGGCTGCTGCTGTTGTTTTGTGTGTGTGTGTGTGTGTGTGTGTGTGTGTGTGTTTTATATGGAACCATTTTCAGTTAGGTTCCAAGCATCTTCTCTCTACTTCCCTGCAGTTTCTGCCATTTCGAGCCGTAGTGGCATAGTGGTTAGAATGCAGTATTGCAAGCTGACTATGAACCAGGAGTTCGATCCTGACCAGCTCATGGTTGATTCAGCCTTCCATCCTTCCAAGGTCAGTAAAATGAAGACCCAGATTGTTGGCAGCAATATACTGACTCTGTAAACTGCTTAGAGAGGGCTGTAAAGTACTGTGAAGTACTATATAAGTCTAAGTGCTATTGCTAATGCCCTTCCTTCCTTCCTTCCTTCCTTCCTTCCTTCCTTCCTTCCTTCCTTCCTTCCTTCCTTCCTTCCTTTCCTTCCTTCCTTCCATCCATAACTCTGCCAACTGCCAGCAGTTTGATCCTGACCAGCTCAAGGATGACTCAGCCTTCCATCCTTCTTATGTCGGTAAAATGAAGACCCAGATTGTTGGGGGCAACAAAATAAAATTCTCAGAATACAGTCTTTATTTCAAGTGGGGAATAACTCAAACTAGTTGTTTTGAGGCTGAAGCATTTCAAGCTTGAATTGCTTTGTGGATTCCTAATGGAAAGAGATCTTCACCCTCTGCATCCATTCTTACAAAATCAATCCCAGTACAGATGATCCTCAAGTTACCATCACTTGTTGCTAAGCAAGGCAGTTGTAAACTGAGCGATGCCTGGCTTTGCAATCTTTTTGCCATAATTGTTCAATTGCTAATACAGTTGTTAAGTGGTTCCAGCTTCTCCCATTGATTTTGCTTGTCCGAGGCTAACTGGGAAGGTCACAAATAGTGATCACACGGTCCTGGCATGCCACAATCATCAAATATGTCCAGTTGCTAAATGCCTGAATTTTAATCACTTAACCATGGGGATTCTTAAGATGGTCGTAAGTGTGAGGACAAGACTTAACCAAATGGCTTAAGTCTAGAATTATCTGTAACTCTGAACTTATAGACTGTTCTTTCATAAATAGCTTAAACATCCTTTAAAATGGAAATCGTTTAGATGCTAATAATTTCCTTATAGTGCTTTAAAACTCAGTCACATGACTGAGACATTCTGAAGGTGAGAAATCAAGTATAAAATGTTATATAATTTTAGTAGTGACAGTTAATGGAAAAGTTTATTTTACACCCTCTGCAACCCAGTGCAAAATGTATATTGTGCTTTTCACTGAGCTGCTACAATCTCTGTTTTCTCTAAATAGCTTTCCATAAATTGTTGCCTTCTATTTGATATCCCAAAACAGACACCCACTCTAAAACTCCTGTATTTAAAGAACAAGAAATCTGAAAAAATGGCAAAGTAACGAATAGCTATTAAAAGCTGTGATATTTTAAACTGACAGGTTTCTCTCTCTCTCTCTCTCTCTCTCTCTCTTTCAAGTGAATATAAGTTTATTTGAAAGGGAAATGCCCCTCATAGAGATATCCATCACCAGAATGTCCAATGTTTGTCTGGAAAGATCAAATATTCAGTATAAACATTCAAATCTGTAAAGCATCCCCCAGGAGACTTCCTATATGTGGGCCACAAAACCCCTTCAGGTGTGAAAATCAAAACAACAAATTTCCTAATGATACGTTTATTTGTCAGGGAGACAGATGTTTCAGAAGGTGACATAGTTCCCTTTGTGGAGACATTAACAGATGTTAAAAGTTGCAATAGTGGCAGAATTCTTATCTGTGCAAATTGACTAGATGACCTCCAAGCTTTATTTACCATCTTTATTCACTTTTTCCCCTGTGAATTGCTTGATTAATAGCAATAGAATAGGGAGAGATGCAACTACTGTAAGGTTTTCCCAAGAGGTGATGCCCATGTCTAAAGATTGAACGTTGACCTTCAAACCCCCATCAACACACATGTGCGTAGCCTAAATGGCTACTATTTTTATGGCTGCACACCATCCCCCTGTACTGCAGGCAGCATATATCAGAATCAGCTGCTGAGGAACATAAATAAAAAAAATGGTCATCACTTCCTATCTAGGTCTGTAAACTTCCCACGTACATCTGGCTGGATCTTGGGTGATATAAAGTTCCATCGTGCTTGGCTTAATTCAGCTCGATTCTTACTAATTTTTTTGTGTGTGTATCTGTGTACTTTCAATTGACTTTGAGAAGTAGGATGATGGACAAGTGTCAGAATGAAACAGGCTCAAATGGACAAAAGGAAACTGGATGGAAAGGAATAAATGAGATAGATTTTTGGAGGTTGAGAGGTTTAGGTGGATAAATAGAGAAAGTAGAAGAGTTGGGTGGATGACAGACAATGATGGTGAATTGGAAGTACTATGATTGGAAATTGGCAGACAATGAGCGTTTTTGGAGACTGAGGTTTCTTGGGATGCACATTATTTGGCAGTTTCCATAAAACTGATGATCAATTGGCTGGCTGGAAGATAACTTCTCGCTGTTGCAGGCTTAGCATCAAACATAATGATGGTTTGAGTATCTACAAATCTCAGAAGAGCAGAAATTGGGACCCAGCATACCTTAGCCAAAAAGCTTCTGTAACCTTTAAGTCAACCTACAGTAGCTGCTCCATGCAGGGATAATTTAAATGAACTCTCTTGCAGAGAAACTATGGAAAACTGTTTCATTTTTATCTTAACGACAGTGATTTACTTGTTACACAAACAAGAAGGTTCATGTTGATTGCCTCAGGGACAATGGACCTTTCTCCCCTTTCCCTTTCCCTCTCCTTGGTCTTCTCTTCCTCCTTCTTCTCCTCCATCGTTTGTCCTTGGATAGTGATTTGGGCTAAAAGACCCCCAAGGTCCTTCTAGCCCTATGACTCTACGATCCCTTCTTACTCCTGCTCTTCCAGAAAAAAACCACTTATGATCAATCTAATTCTATATAGTTCAGATGCATTTTATAAGCACGTTATCTTTGCAGCTTTTCCTCGGAGTTGAAACGGTGTCATTTCTCCTGCTGCATTCCTTTTCATTCATCTCTCCGAAAGACAAAAACTCAGAGAGGAAAAATAAGCACCAAATTATTGTCATGCTACATTTCACTACATTAATGTAATGACGTCCACCGTAAGGAGGAATGTCTGAAGTAGACAGCCACATTAGGTTATACGTGAGGGTTACTTAAACCAAAGTAAGTTCTGCACGCCACAACTAACGATAAGCATTGGGGAAGGCGGTGGGGGGGGGAGCAGGAATAAACCGATTGAACCTCAAGCGGCAACTCTTTTTCATTTTTGCTTCCAAGGAAAGGTTGCGTATGTTTGAATGATTCTGTTTAATATGGGACAGTGGAGCAGTTTTGTGACAAGAATTTCTAACCTCAAATATGGGTACTATATTTGATCAACTATCACAACTTTGGAGACCATTTCTCCTGATTTGAAAAAGGCATTTCCTGCAGGAGGAAGGTATGGAGGGGAAGAAAGAAAATATTTTTTAATTATGGTTTAATCAACCTATTCTCCAAAACATCTGAAGGGAGGAAGAGACGCAATGGATGGAAATTTATCAAAGACGGATCCAACCTAGATTTAAAAAGAAATTTCCAATTAACCAGTGGAACGGCTTGCTTCCAGAAGTTGTGGGTGCTCCATCACTGGAGGTTTTTAAGAAGAGACTGGACAGTTCAGAATGATATAGGAACTCCTGCTTGAGCAGGGGGCTGGACTAGAAGACCTCCAAGGTCCCTTCCAACTCTGTTATTCTGTTATTTCCCATGCTCATCTAGACACAAACTTTTGTTAACAAGCGTTTTCTTCTCTAAGAAGAATGCTACTGATATTTTGCAAATGCTTTAAAATAAATGAATAAACAATGAGTGATTGATATATTCCAAAATTAGATAGTTGATTTTTCTCCCCAAGATTCTAAGTAGGTATGATTGCATGCATTAATTTGTAGAAGGTGGAAGACTTCCGTAGAACAAATGAATGGACAACCCAGATGTTGTTGAGAGAAAGAAAGAGAGAAAGAGAGATAGATAGATAGATAGAGAGAGAGAGAGAGAGAGAGAGAGAGAGAGAGAGAGAGAGAGAGAGAAAGAGAGAAAGAAAGAAAGAAAGAAAGAAAGAAAGAAAGAAAGAAAGAAAGAAAGAAAGAAATGATTCTTAGGTCACAGTTTAGGGTAGGAAGGTTAGGATATTTTGATTTATTTTCTTTTTCCATTTGATTTTTAGATTTACTTGGGTTGTTTTTGTGATTACATGGTTGGAAAAAGATGAGTGGGATCGATTTGGGAGATTTGGGAGGGGAGCTAGAGGAAGTAGGTAGAGCTGGGATGGACCACAGCTTGACACAAGCTGACAATGAAGTGGAGACACAATGATTAGAAGGGCTACAATTGTGGCTGGAACAGCCGCAGCAGTAGATACCTGGGCTGAATACCAAATTGCACTGGGATTTAAGAAGTCCCTCATCATTTCTTAGCCTTGGACTATTGCAGTGTGTTTTGCATAAAGAGCAACAGAAAACTGCACTTGGTTTACATGCTAATTGGCCATTAGATGACACGAACATATTACACCTATACTGTTTTTTTTTTAAAATGCTGATATTAGCTTATAATATCCTTGGCAAGCTGGCACTAAGGTTCCTGTAGGTCTACTTTTCCCCCAGCTAGAATAAACCCAACCGACAGGAACAAGTGGGAGAAAACTGTTAATAATTCTTGACTACTGAGAAATCAGAAGCACTGGAAGCTGGGAAGAAAAGCCTTTGCTGTCACAGCCTTCGAGTTGTAGAAAACTTTTCCATCAGAAATCAGGTTTTCTCTGACCATGTTTCAGAAGCAGATTAAAGAGACACCCTCTCTTTATCTTGTTAAGGTCAAGCTGTAAAAATCTTGTTCTGGTTTTAAGGCAACTTTAAGCGTGCGTTCTCATTGTTTTTATTATGGCTTCTCTTATTGTATTATGCATGTGTGCTCTTATGAACTGCCTTGATTGATTGCAAGGGCATAAAAATGGAACAAATAAATCAAAAGAGGTGAGATGGCACATGTGACGCTCCCTTACACATTCTGTGAAATATCTGAGAAAACTGCAAAGCGGTGAGCTCCTTTTGTGGCTGCCCTCAATCTGTGAAGTGATCTCACTTTTATTTACCTTCTGACTTCTATTTTTTCAGATGTTTGCCTCAACATCAGACACTGCCCTCAAAAGG